TCATTATTTTGTGTATTTGGTGTAACAGAATATGTTGACATGCTTTAATGTTCAAAAAACACATTATTTTTCAAATACTGTACATTATTGTAGGTCCTCTATGCCCCGCCTCTCTCAAACGCTTCGTTTTCTACAAAGTCCCTCCTTCCGACAAGCGCAGTCTGCTCTGATTGGCCAGCTGACCCAGTGCATTGTGATTGGCCGAACACCGCAAGCACTCGTCGGAAATGTAACGCCCCTTACCATAATCGCGAGCTTCATCTTTCAAAATAAATGTAAAGACAGTAAATAATGTCATTAGTTTTACCATCAGTTCAAGCCCGAAAGGGGAACAGACACAGTAATGATGCAGTACACAAGCCGCGGTTAAGACAGCTGACTCTACTGTGATGTGATGCTGTCTCTCTCTCTCTCTCTCTCTCACACACAACACTAACTGCAGTTACTGAAACCACGCCTTCTTTCTTTGCGTGCACATTTGGGCACATTATGCAAATATTCCCACATAGTGACCTAGATATGTGGGGGCGTGTTAGAACGAGCCGTTTTAGGGGGGTGTGGCAGAGTCTTAACTTTGATAAAGAATATCTCTTTGGTTTTGAGACTTTAGTCTTTGCAACTTCATGGATCTTATCTATTCACGAACAGCTTGTAACACTCCAAAGAGAAAGGAAAACTTGAAATCGCATCATATGACCCCTTTAAATTACTTAAAACTAATCCAAACTAAAAGCACAAAGCACAAACTTGTGAAAATGACTCAAGCTCTTATGACATTAGTAAGGCAGTGTTTTGACCCTTATGCTGTAATAGGGGACGTTTTTAAATGAAGCACAATTTTGGGAAAGTTATAAAACTACAAGTGGGACAATGTTATACAATAAAAGGTTGTGCACAGTTAATTTGCAGAGCAAAACAAAGAACTCATTTGAACACATATGACCTCAGAGACACACTGAAAAAAGTCAATGGTATGTGAGTGTGTGCTAACCCAGCTCACTGCTTAGCGGTGAAGTGTTTTCTTCCTGCTCATTGGTCATAGAGCGAGTGACTCGTCCTTTCCGGTGTCCTCGGCTGTTTGCAGTGCGCCGGCCTTTAGCGGTTATAGGAGGCTCTTTTTCCTCCCCGTCCTCACCAGAGGTGTCATCTCTGCAAGAACAGAAAAAAAAAAAAATCATTGTCATAGTCGCATTATGCTCTTATCGCAGCAAAATTATTCACACACCATGTTTGATTATCATCCATCATTTGAATTTTTTTTATCAATATCAATATGATTACATCAATACTGAAAAGCATTTATATTAGGCATGTTTACCTCAATTCGAGTATATCCTTGTTTTTATGATGGGTTTCAAGAGCACAGAATCTTTAAAAAAATATATACATTATGTATAATGTCACTAAGCAGGCAAAAAAATAGAGCAATAGATAAAATGCTAGAACGATTGATAAGAGTGCTAGAACGATAAACAGAATGATAGATAGATAGATACACAGACAGACAGACAGACAGACAGACAGACAGACGGATGATGGGTACATTTCTAAAAAAATTTAAATCAGAGCATTCCTATTAGAAAAAAATATTTGTAAGGTAACTTGCTGATAGTACACACAGAACCAAAAAAATGAACCATATATGAATGTGAACACACTATGCAAATGCTGGCTCACTAGCTAGTGTATTCCCCCTTCAGCAGTACGGCACAGTGTCAGGAAGTGGCTGTGGGATGAGCAGACCCTCATTTATCTTACCTGCACAGTATCCATCTTGCAGATACAGTACTAAATATAGGAGCAGCAGCTGTGCCCGCAGGTTGTGAGAATCATAGGGGAAAAGTCAGAGAAATGCACAGACTCGGCTTAATGCACTCATTTAATGTATAGCTGGCATACTTGGGCGTATACTCAGGCCTGTGTATTCGGGCCAGTGCTAATGTGCTTTAATCACACCCTACAGTACTGCTGACTACACAGGTTTAGTTTAGATTAATACACTGTTACCTGTACTTCCCAAGAGTATATAAATACAGTGTGCACCTGCGAGTGAACTAGTGTTCAGAAACTAACAGCTCAATAAATTAGGCTGAAATGATACAGAACAGCATCTGTACATAGCCATTGTTTAGTGAAAACTAGAAGGCTGTGTTTCTACTTGGAATGTCAAAAGGGCCAATTTATTATGCTGTTAATATTAATCAAATAACAATATTGAGAAGAAAAAGACAAACCCAGTCACAGGTTTTTTGCTATTTATAACTTGAATAAATTAATTTATTTTAAATGTTTATATAAACCAAAAAATAAAATATATTTATTAAAATAGCTATATTTGAATGAATATATTTAATTTTTATTTTATATACACATTTTTGCATTAAATATATTTAACCTGTTTTTTTTATTACTGTTTACTTTATTGATTACTTGAAAAACTTGAATCAATGTTTAATTGAAAGTAACTGTAAATTAAATGAAATTACATTAAACTAATGTAACTTAAAATAAAATAAAATAAAAATGCACATTAGTTTTTGATGTGGCACTGAAAAAAAATAAATAAGTAGTATTAGCCAATTTTTGGTATCATGACCACAGTTCTATCCTAGAGTCTGTAACACGCAAACCCCCTCTGAATCGGAGGACTTTAGCACCAGCGATGAGTGGCAAGTCAGCAGAATGCTTTTTCCACCTGCCGGTTACATAACTGTGCCTTCACTGTTTAAGATGAATCACAGAAAAAAAGAAAGCTGTAGGGCCACAGGTTCAAAGGATTTGATGAGAGAAAATGCAATGAAAAAACAGCTGATGGATAGGTGTGAGATGAGAGGGAGAGAAGGCGAGTAAAAGAGAGAAAGATACTCACTTCATGCCATCCTCTTTCTCATCTCCCTCTGCATTGTCCTCCTCGCGGTCTCCCTCTTTCTCTCTCTCCTTGTCGTCTTTCTCCTCCTGGTTGTTGCGGTTCACCTGTTGCTGTGTCTGTTGGTTATTCTGTGAATACAACCAATCAAAACACAGCAAATTAAAACCATTAAAATCTAATTAAAATCATCTAAAACATTATTTCCACCCAAAAAAAAAAAACATAACTCTCCCATTTGGAATAAATGGACATCCTGATTCAATTGAAAAATTAACTCGCAAGCTCAAGTACACCAATGATGCACAAAAAAAAAAGCTGTCTGGAACCAGGACATTGTTCTATAAATCTCTTTGTAAGGAAAAAAAACACCCATAAGAGGAGGTGGTGCTCCTATCACCCAGGCCTCAGTTCTATGTATCTGTGTTTTCCTTCACATAAGAATTCCATTTTGAATTATGAGGCAACATAAACCATCTATTTTTGTCAGGAAAGAGAGAGTATGATCCACTACAGCTACTACGAAAGGGAAAATGGATGACAGAAGGATGAAGGGAGAGGGGACAGAGACAGGATCTGAGGGGACTCCGGACGTACAAATGAATGGAGTGAAAGAGTCTCGACATATCCAAGCTCCGATTCTGCCTCAGAGCTTTTCAATATGACAGACAGCACCTCATATAACCTTACACACACACAAACAGGAAGCTGACAAATGTATATGAATGTCATCTTTTCCCACATGATTGTGTGCTAACATAAATGTTTTTGCATAATGGAATTCAAGTTTTTCAAATCTTTGTAACATTATAAATGTCTTTACTGTCACTTTTACTTATCAATTTTATGTGCCTTGCTGATTAAAAGTATTAATTTCTTTCTTTAAAATTGTTCCAACCCCAAACTTCTGTATTTCACCTGAGGATAGATAGCCACATTACAGTACAATTTCCAAATTTTACTTGAAAGGTATTTTAACAAATACATTTCAGCAAAATGAATCTTCCATGCTAACCATTCGATTCCAAAAAAAAAAATGTTTTATCTGAAAACAATAAAATTAGATGTAATGTCAGCTGCCCACATCCCTCATTACAGTGCTGCATGAACACACTCAGTTATTCATTTACAGTTAAACACACATATACAGATGCACTCATCCACACAGTAACTTGCTTTCTGTTTTTTTGTCTCCCTTTTGTTCATGCTTTCTTTCACCCATCAGGCTCATCCCACTGTATCCCTCTCTTTCTGTGTTTGTGGCACAGGCTGAGAACGTTTTAATGTGAGCCCATTAAGATCAGGCAATATTTAATGACCTGAGCAGAAACGCCCCAGCAGCAGAAGACCAGTAAAACAAATGTGTTTGGGCTGTGGGCTCATTATTCTATCAGATTTTATTGCTATTATTGCAGGCAACACACACAAACACACACACACGCAGCTCTCATTCTAACAACTTCACCTCATGCTCTCCTGCTTCAAAACAAAACACAAACATTGCATACATTCACGATGCAACAGTTTCATGAATCTCTCTGTGCGTGATCTTACACACACGTACAGAAATTAATAAGTGCGTAAGATCAGGAGAGAATCACTGCAGACTCTAACGGCAGCTAGATAATTACTTCATATAGTTTGACCTCACTTTGAAGTGTGCGCCTGTGATACTCATTAGAATCATGCTGATTTATTTTTAATAACACTCTCATTAAAAAGACAAGCTGAATTCACACCGGCACTATAAAGACTATAATCATGAGGTACATGCTGTAAATGAGGAGACAGATCCACAAGCAAATAAACAATGTTTATATAATTTAATATAGCACAATGCCATAGTCAACATCCTTGAATTTTTCAGGGCTTATGCTGCATTCCATTCAACTCGGAAAGTCATAATTTCAGCTTTCTACTTGGAAAGTGCAATAGGACACCACTTGTTGCAGAACTTTCAATTTCAACACTCTTTTGCAGAAGTCTACAATTGATTTTGCAGAGACTTTGGTGACATCATGCAAAATAGTGGGACTTTAAGCATATAACATACCAGTGTTTCATTGTGCAACATTACACAATAATAAACCTGTTTACAATGTATAAAATATCATAAATGATCTTCTGTTGATAATCACACATCTCAAAAACCAATTCTAGCATTGGCGTTTTGTTTCTTTATACATCCTTTTCCAAGTAGGAACATCTCACACCCGACTTTGAATGAAATGCAGCATTAAAGCGTCAAAGGGCATGCTGGGAGATGTAGTCTCATGCTCACCTGGCTCCTGCCTCGGCGACGGTAGCTCCTGCGAACAATGTTCTTGTAGTTCTCATTCTTCTTAGTCAGGTAGTAGAACAGGACACACTCAGCCACCGTCTGTGGAAGGACACACACACACGCAGAGCACTTCAGACCTCACTCGTTCTGCTCATACGCTCTCATCATATTCATGCACACTGCCTGCAGTGCAAACAACGAGATGAAGAGGATGGTATTAATAAAACGCAGGTGTACCTTTCTCTCCAGAAAGGAGGCTATCAGGCCAAAGTTTTTTGGGTGCTGGATAAACCTGCAGTGAGGGAGAGGAGGAGCTGTGATATAGAGCAAACAACCTTCAAATGCTGTATTTTACAGTTGAATTCTTTCGCTAGATATTTCAGTTGAACAAATTTTCTATAGCATCCTTTTTGGTTAAAGTGCATTAATTCAGCTGTCATGTTTGCCTGTTGCGGCTTATCCACATTATGTGCACAAAATCAAGCTGACACAATTAATAATAGGGGTGGGAATCACAAGATACCTCACGATACAATACGATACGATACATGACTCACGATACCGATAATATCAATTCTGTGCATATTCTGTGATAATCGATATATTGCTAGACAATCCTATAATTATACATCACGATATCTGTCTATGAAAACAAAATGCCTGTGAAAAGGTTAAGTGCAGGTTTTCTCTCTTATTCAAGTCCAAACTGCTGAAAATTTTGCTAAAATTTTAATTGTCATAATTTACTTACTCTCAAGTTGTTTTAAACTTGAATGAGTTTCTTTCTTCTGTTGAACATAAAAGTTATTTTGCAGAATGTGGGTAACCAAACAAGTTAGTGGTCCCCAGTGACTTCCACGGCATTTTTTCCCCTATGAAAGTTAACAGGGACCAGCAACTTTTTGGTTACCCACATTCTTCAAAATATTTTCATTGTGTTCAGCACAAGAAAGAAATTAATACAGGTTTGGGACAACATGAGAATGAGTAAATAATGACAGAATTAAAAATTTTTGGGTGAACTATCCCTTTAATGAAAAGCAGCAGCATGTTTAGTACAATTAGTCTGCTGTCGCTTTAAGAGCTGCACGCATCTAATATACAGGCACGTTTTTCTCTCAACTGTTTACTTTCACTTTAGACATAACCAACTGTGCTTATATGTAAACCTTGTGTGTTTTTGACAGTATTAGCACATTCGGACGCAAAAGATAAACTTAGTCCAGTAATCAGGTGCTGTTTGTCAGGCTTTTTAGTAGGGCTGTGCGATTAATCGAAATTGTAATAAAATCGCGATTTGAGCGTGCACGATTTCTAAATCGCTTTTTAGCACGATTTTCCGCGCCCCCGACCTCCCGCAGTATGCTATCCGAACCAATCGGAATGCAGCGCGCCTAAATGGAGCACGAGAACAGAACAGACCAGGCGGGCATACAAACGTAACGCCAGGTTCACGCACTCCGTCTGTGGTGCGTATTTTTTCCGCACCCATGTTAACGGATCAGAGCGTTCACACTGCACACGATTGCGGTCCAGCAGTGCGCTCCAGGAGCGGTGCGTCTGCAGCAGTCATGCTGCGATCGTTTCCGCACGGAATCTAATTCTGCTGTGCTGCACGCACTGAATTAAAGTGACAGCGCATTATTCGCGGTAAAAATTAACATGGATTGACACGGAAATTTAGTGATTACACCATAAATGCATTTAATTAAAGTCTACTGTTTCACAGTCAACACATGGCTTTTTGGCTAGGTTTAAAAGAAGGAAAAGTGCACTTTTAGATAAACAAGGCAATAATAGATGGCACTCATGGTGGTAGTTAAAGTTATATTTATTGAATTTAAACGTGAATATGTCTATGAAAGATTGTATTACTGTACTGTCATAAAAGTGAATCACAATGCTGAAAAAGCATTTTCAGAAACAATGTTTGGATTTGAAATCAAAATAATGGATAAATGTTGTGTTTGTGGTAGCCGCGGATCAGGAGCAGACTGCAAACGTGTCCTGTGCGAAAGCAAAATGAGTCCGTGCTGCTTCTGCACCGCATACACATACTGTATACGCACTGCAGACGGAGTACGTGGAACTTGGCGCAACAAATCTAGTTCAACATCTGAGGCAACGCCACAAAGAGCTCTATGACCAATGCATGGCAAAAAAAAAAAAAATCCCTGGACATGGGATTTTATTTTTTTTTTCTGCAATATGTCTATTCTAGAGAGTAGAGACATTTTGTTACACCTTTACTTAGTGATTATTTTGCCTTATGTCTGTTCTAGAGACATGTTACAGCTTTTTGATAAAGCTCTAATTGGTTTTCTTTTGGAAATATGTTTCAAATTCACACTGAATGCATTAATGACTGTAAAGCATGTCTGTGTGTGTCAAAATCGTGATTAAAATCGAAATCGCAAAATTGATCAAAGAAATCGCGATAGGTTTTTTTTGTCCATATCGCACAGCCCTACTTTTTAGTCTGCGCGCACTTCAAGTGTACATGCTCAGAAAAAGTGCATGTCAGAACCGCACATGAATTAAACGTTTAACCGGCAAGGCTTTAGAGCACATGCAAATAATGCAGTTCTTGCATATTGCTTACTCTTTGTCGATTTTGTTTGTCCCATCGATGGTATAAAAGCCGAAGTGGGTCCAGACTTCGGACTTAACGTGGCTGGTACATCTATTATTTTACTTACACTGCTGTCCGCCATCCCGTTAAAAACCTTTTTCTTAAGCTAGTTAACTTATGTTCATGTTTCACAATTATTGCAATCTTATTCTATTGTGCTCCATCTGTTTGGCGCACATGCGCGCTGCGACGCTTGTTCACTTAAGTCTGTGAAGTTTAGCAGAGAATTGTATGCAAAAGGCTCCTGACAGCAAAATGGAAATATTTCCATGACTTTCTAACATTTACAGATGGAGAATATAACTGTGAAATGTAAGTTATGCACTGAGGAAAACAGCACAAAAGCATTAAACAGCACAAGTAGCCTATCTGTCAGCAGCACACGAGTCTGTCAGAGCATCTGACAGGGCGAGCCACTTTAAATCATACGTGTTAACTATATCTTACCAGTTAATTTAAAGCCCTTAATATAAAGCATGTCTCATGTTTAGGATAAATTGGATTATGCACTTTCCCCACAGCAGCTCACTCTATGTCCTCTGCTATTATTCAGATGCGCTCTTATCAAACATACCATATCAAACCATATCGCCTTATAAACATATATTATCGTACAAACTCGATATACCGCCCAGCCCTAGCTTACATCAGCATCAGCCCATTGATGTAGATTTCAGCTGTTCACGTTTCACCTAGTGCTGCACCACTAGCCAACTATCAAACACAACCACATGCACACAAACTGCTGAGCTCTTGAAAACCAGGAGAGAGATGCTAAACCACAGGCTGATGCATTTTAGTACCGATTTCGTAACTCCTCTTTCCTTCAAGCAAAATCAACATGCACATCAATGCAATGAGGACAGAACGTACTTCTCACGGAAAGTGTCCTTCTCCTGTTCACTCCACATGTTCATGACCTGTCTATCTTTGTAGACCTTCATGGGATCGTCCATCAGCCCATTCATGTTGATAAACTTTATTCTCTGCTGCTCGGCATCAAACAGCATGGGAGGAATCACAGCTAACTGACGCATCTGCTTCTCTGAGTTCTGCAGTGAGAGAGAGAGAGAGGAAGAGGCAGTCACTAATATGAAATGAAAAGAAATATGCGAAAAGAAACCGAGAAACAGTAATGCCAAAAGCAAGGCAGATACAGTCAGCAAAAATGTGGCCACTGAATCTTATGTCTGTGTTTAGGAAGTGCATCAGCCACAAAACCCAACTGGTTGTGTAAGAGACCTTTAGTTGTTAATTCACTATTTGTGCACTTTTTCCAGACAGACACACACACAATCCTTTTACATTCAAGAATATGCTTGTCTATTGAGTATTTTCTCCATAATTGTTCTTGCAGCCCCTTAGTATATAAAATACTGTTTTGGTAACATATGAACACTACTGTTCATGTTTGGTAAGACTTTTATGATGTTTTTGAAAGAAGTCTCTTATGCTCAAGGATGCATTTATATTATTTTTTTATAGAAATATTTTGTAATACAAATATTTTACTGCCACTTTTAATCAATCTAATTCATCCTTGCTGAATAAAATTAATTTCTTTAAAAAAATCTTATTGACTCCAAATATTTAAAAGGTAGTGTATAATACATGATTTGACTAACATTTTATTAGACAAAACAAAACAAAAAACTGCTGCAAAGGCATATCTTTAACTATATGTTGTCATATGAACAGTCAGCGACGATAATGATTCCACAAAACTGCTTCATTCACCAAATTCTCACTAAGTTCATTCAGTATATGAATCAGATTAATTCAGATGGCTCAACTTGTGAGTTGTTGATTTATTAAAAGAGCCAGCTTACTGTATATTAAATTAATTAAAAGTATTAATTAGATTACGGTTTCGAATGCACAGCACAATATGAAGAGATGTGTCTTGACATTAATTCATGGTACAGAGTGTTTTATCTCCACAAATTCAAACTGCAAGCTCACAACTATGGTAAAATGTATTCTCCTTCTACGTTGCTGTAGATTTGGCACTGAAAAGCAGTGCAGGAAACAATGAGTTTATTCAAGCTCCAGCCCTACCTCTTGCTCTGAGATGCCGTCGATGATCTCAGAAACCTCATGTTCACTGCGAGCTGCTGAGGCCAAACCCCCACCTCGCTGAGCCACTCTACTGTAGTGAATCACATAAATATAGATATAAATACACTTATGAAACCACACATGACCATGCAAATGTCTCCAAAGCTCATAACAACACAGGACCACTCACTTCTGCATACGCTCCTGCAGCTCTCTCTGTTTGCGGATCTCAGGAAACTGCTTTTCGTAATACTCCCGCACTTTGCTCTCTTTGGCTCTGCGACGTGGGTTATTCTCAATGCGCTCAACTTTCTTCTCCCAGGCCTCCATTAGCTGGTCGTAGCGCTGGCAGAATTTCTGTTCCTGAGCACACCAGTCAGAAAATAAAGGATGAATATCAAAGTCTAGACAGCATATGCTGCAGTAGAGTCATCAAGAGAGGAAACATTAGAATGAAAGTAATTACTGAATGCTAACAGCTCCAGTGTAGTTTTTAATAACCCCATTATTCGATAACTACAATTCAACCAATTCAATGACATCAATTCAACTACTCTTTCCTAACACTGGGATCCTCATTGGGATCCTATGGAAGGCTATTCTTGTTGTCTTAGTAATTAATAAACAAATGTGCCCAATATTTAGGTACTGCGAGCTGCAACAGTGCCATCCTGCTGTGTGTTTTGTGTGTGCATTTGAGTGCTTTCACTTACCCACTGTTTGCGAGCATGATTTCTTCTTTTGAAATACAGAATGAGCTTCTTCCTCATTGCCTGATTTCTGTAAAAGGGGAATACATAATAATTAAACAACATAAAATGCCACCTCTAAACTTCAGCTGTGATGTGTCTCATCAATATTTGCATATACAAGAGAGTCCAAGTGTAAGCAATCTTTGTGCGACAGAAAGCAAAGGCAGTCATATTTTGCATAGTTCTAGGACCCTAGATATGGCTTGGGTCCCTCCTTAAATGCAAAGTCTGTTTTTTTTTGGCTTATTTTATTGTCCACCAGGCGGAAATTGTAAGTCTGATCACTTGGAAAAGGAACAGCAAAAACGGCACTAGCAACATTCCTTAGGACCACTAAAAATGTAACAATAAATTTAAGATAACATAGCTCAATGCAAATTATATTTTCAAATATATTAATATAGAATATGTTATTTTTAATTGTAATAATATTTTACAACATTACTGTTTTAATGTATTTTTGATCAAATAAATGCAGCTTTGGTGATCATAAGAAACTTCTTTTAAAAACATCAAAATCATACTGACCTCAAACTTTTGAAGTGTAATGTCTGTTTGTTTGTTTATTTGTGTGTTTAAGAGAGTTAGCTAGCTAGTTACCTAGCAATGCAGGTCAGATTAGTAATCATCTTTAATTCTCTCACTGCATGCAGATTTATTCTCTCAAACGGCAGAGGTCATGACCATTCATTTACTTGCATCTTGCGTTAAGTCCTACACGAGGGTGTGTGCATCTTTCAGCAGTTTAGACAAACTGCGTATTTATGCCAACATGTCGAGGGAAATCAGCCTGGTATCATGTGCATTTGATGAGACACTGGTGCACTTGGCAGAATCTCTTTGAGTCATTGGTTTGTGTATTTACTTGTACGAGTGAGATTAGGCGTGTAGGTGCAGAGGTGGCACTGCACCTACTGGCACTGCAGATGCCTATTTGGCATCTGCAGATGGCAGGATTAGCTGCTGTGCGAGACGTGATGGAACCAAGAATGCAGCTCAATGGCCATGATCTACCCACACATCAACTATTACACAAATATTTCCCACTGGTGCTGCTCAGGTTGATAAAGGACTCATGAGAACAAAACCCTCAATTGTGTGTGATCAAAGAACAGCTGAAATACATCTTTCTCAAACACATATTTGCCTGTCTATAAATTATGAGGCCAAATAACCCAAAAGATCACAGAAAGATTGGAAGTGGGGGATTTGTTAACCACCATAAATAAAGGTACGGTCACATTACGGTCACACCTGCAAAAGAAGGTCCACTGTCAATTAAGCAGAGCTGTATGAAGTATAGCTCACACCAAAGTCAATTTCAAACTAAGCAGCTTTCTGGTGGTCATCGCGGCGAATTTGACCAACTTGAACACAGGTGAAATCTGTGAACTTTTTCGCCTTATGCAAAACTCTGATTAGACCATTAGCATCTCGCTCAAAAATAACCAAAGAGTTTCTATATTTTTCCTATTTAAAACTTGACTCTTCTGTAGTTACACCATGTACTAAGACCGACGGAAAATGAAAAGCTGCGATTTTCTAGGCCGATATGGCTCTCATTCCGGTGTAATAATCAAGGAACTTTGCTGCCATACCATGAAAGTTCCAAAAAGTTCCTTGATTATTACACCAGAATGAGAGTATAGTTCCTAGCCATATCAAACCATAACCATAGGAAAAATATAGAAACTCTTTGGTCATTTTTGAGCGAGATGCTAACGGTCTAATCAGATTTAATGACCTATGCTAAGCTAAGCTAAAAGTGCTACCACCAGACCCGGAGATCGGCTGAATGGATTCGAAAACGGTAAAACTCAACTGTTTAACTCTAGGGGAGTTGGAAAATGAGCCTATTTTCAAAAATAGTGGAGTGCTCCTTTAAAGTCTCTACTAATGAGCTGATGAGTTAAATCGGGTGTGTTAGATGAGGGAGACAGTGCTGGGGTGCTCCAGGACAGTTTTGAAAACCATTTCAGAGACATAAAAAAATTGTTTTTACTGATATACGGCCTGACAACATCTCATCTGAACGCAGTTCACTGTTGTTTTACTGAAGCTCCCTCATCACCTGTACCTTTTCCGCACTCGTTTGACTAGCACCTGGCACTGAGGTGAAGTTGTAGTACATGTCTGAAAAGTCTCCCGTTTGATGTGGTCTTAAAGATGTTGTGTGTCTAAATAAATGCAATTCTTTTCAAGAAAAAAAGAGACAGAAGCAGCAGTTGTGAGGGGGTGGCCAACCCTAGCTCCACCCCTGCATTAATTGCGTTAAATACTAATATTAATATTAATATCAATATTAATAAATACTAATATACTATTATAAAATTTTAACACGTTGAACTGAAAAAAATTAATTGTCTGCTAAAAATTACACAGAAGATTAAAATAAATTCAGCAAGTGAGGGACTAAATAAACATTTAAGGAACTGTAATATTAGAATATTTATTGGGCTCTATGCTTGTGTGCCTACAATGCTAGTTCTAAATTTCATTCCTCAATCATTATAAACGCTGCAGTAATACAGGCGGCATATACGCATGATTGTAATTGTTTAAGCTACAGATCTGTCTCTCAGTGGATGGAGTTGTTTTTGGTTTTGACGGAAAGAGCAAGAGATACAGATAAATATACTCACATCTTGATGTTCTCATGGTACTGCTTGGTATCAGACGGCTGGTTGTATAAAGGCTGTAGGGTAGACAGATGAACGCAGTGGAGTTCAGTTTCACACACACACACACACACACACACACACACATACACATACACACACACAGCAGTCACATCAATGCATCCCAGCTCTGGGAGAACTTCTTTTTCTACCGTCCCATTTTTCAGCCAAGCCCAGAAACACAGAAAAGAGTGTCTTCTCCAACACCACATCTAAAATCTTCTGCTATCATCATCACACACTCGTTTGAGATGTCAAGCGAAGGATTTTTCCGTGGGGAAAATGGACATGTTGCAGTGTCTCTTCTGTCACAAAGCATCACAAAGAGGTGGCACCAGAAGGGCTGTTCTATCACCTCGATTATCAATATAGTTGCGCCAAAAGTCTCTGCACAAGGTCAACAGCCATGTTGTAAACAAATAGGCAGCAGTGCATGTAGTCACACACACACAGACTCACAGGCTGAAGGAGTTCATATTTCACACTGTGGAGGTAAAGTTACAGCAGTAGGTTTTCATACACCTCAAATGCAATGATCGCATATTTGGACAACTTTAAAGGCGATTTTCTCAGTATTTAGATTTGTTTTTATTCCAGATTCCAGATATTCAAATAGTTGTATCTCGGCCAAATATTGTCCTATCCTAACAAACCATACATCAAAGGAAAGCTTATTTATTCAGCTCAATTTCGAGAAATTGACCCTTATGACTGGTTTTGAGGTCCAGGGTCACATATTAATAAAAGATGAATTAAGAAATCAGCTCATTCGTTTCAGAAAAAACCTGCTAAACACTGTGACAAATTTTGAGTAACACTGCAAAGAAAAACTACATTATGAACATGACTGTGAGATATGCTGTCACAGGATATGATGACATAAACTGAAGACAGTCAACGTCAACTCTGACATAATCAGCTGATGAGACACCTGACCCCTTGACACTGTGCAAGTACACGAGCTGAACTGATACTGCTATAAAATAAATATATTGACTCTATTAGCATCGGCTGACATCATAAGCTTTTTTTAATAGAGAAGATTGATGAAAAAAAGAGGGACGATGTGTGAAAGAAGGATAATGGAAAATAAATATGAAGAGAAATGTGGACTCACCAGCTCCACTTGGGGTCCGAGTCCCTCCAGGATCCGGTGAGCCTCCTCTGCCTTTTTCTGTTCAAAAAACACACAGCACACATGTCAGCGGCACATCAGCAAGGCAACACACCTTAAACTCTCTCTCTAGCGCACACACATAAACAAGACAGTGTGTAAGGGATGTACTATTAATAGAGCTCTCGACAGAAGACACTCACTGCCCTCTGCCATCTACCTCTCTCCCCTCTCTCTTTGGGAAAGTGGAGAGAGAGAGAAAGAAGGCTGGAGAGGTAATCCAATTAGATGCAATAAAGAAAGAAGAATCTATTACATTCTGTTCTGTCTTGCTCAAATGCAGAGAGAGAGAGAGAGAGAGAGAGAGAGAGAGAGAGAGAGAGAGAAAGAGAAAGAAAA